AGCTTCTTTTCCCCCTACCCCAACATGGGGTAGGACCAGGTACCTTCTCCTTTCCTTCTGTGACAGGGATTATCTTTTCCTAAAAAAGAAACATGTTTCTCTGGGATCTTATTGGCTCCAGCTTCCCTGATGTGGCTTTCTGATTACCTAAGAGCGTAAAAAGTCTTAAGCCACTTGGAGACAAGTCCTCTCAGACTTGATGGGTGCCTGAATGGGTCTAAGTCACCAAATTTTGCCCTTATGATCTGCAAATCATATGTGCTTCCATAAGGAGGTAGGAGAGGCTGCATCTACCAAAACTGAAGATAAATATCACGGCACCCTTATTGCATATCCTTGCTGTGTTAGGGCAAAGTAATCAATCTTTTTGTTAACTGTTCGATAACTTATGAGTGCCTCACTTTATTCCAAAATCAAACTTGAATGAAAACAGTGCTAGTGTTAGCTCAATCTCTAACAAAGGGTGTATAATTTTTCATTGCTCAAAACTTGAGCTCTTCCTCTTTTTGAAATATATTATTCTATTACCTAGCTGTGGTATCTAGTGGATACGGAATAGTTTGTTATTCAATTGTTCTTTCCTTTATATTTGAACAACTTTCTCCTGGCTGCCTGAAAAATCAGTTATCATTAGAATTCCTAAATTTAATGTGTTAAAGAGTGTATTTTTCTAAAGGTGGTTTATAGATTTTATTAGTTGATACTTTCTATTCTGAATTCAGTTCTGGGCAGTTTTTAAAATTCCTATTTCCTGTATTATAGTATTCAGGTTTTTCCTTCCTTTCATGGTGGTTACAACACTGGGATTGAACTACAAAGCTGCCTCAGCCTCTTCCTTGGGGATTTACATTTTCTGGATTCAGACACTGCTTTACGTAGCTTCCACAGGGACAAGACTAGGCCTTGGCTGGATTTCAGCCTTCGTGCCTTCAGTGCATGCGGGCACACTGCCCCAGTTTTTCTCTTGACTCTCATAATTTTCTTCTCTGGCTAGGCTAAATAAATCCTTACCCCTTATTTTACAGGAAGACTATGGGGAGGGTGTTCACTCTGTACCCAGGTGTTCTCTAACCTAGGGGTGACTGTAAGTAGAAAGCAGAACTAATTCTCCCCATGCTCCTTCTCACCTGGTTGGACAGAATCAGAATCTGCCTTGTGGAGAGTTGGGAAGGGGTACCAGCAGTCTCTACTGTAGGAGGACTTTTGTTGGATTGTGGAAGCTGGCAGAGAAGGGATATTGAGTGAGTTCTTTAAGAATTATGTTTTCTGGTGTTAACTGATAAAATTTGTTGGGGTTCTCTCTTGTCCTGTGGATTCAGCTGAACTTTTTCTGTGGCACAAAATTCTTCTTCTGGGTGTGCGTTTGGTGTGTGTGTGTGTGTGTGTGTGTGTGTGTGTGTGCGTGCGTTTGGTGTGTGTGTGTGTGTGTGTGTGTGTGTGAGAGTGAGGATTGAGGAAAATGCCTAGTCTGTCATTACATTGGAAACACAACCAGAAAATCACCCTATCCTTCTTAGTTCATAGCCTTGTTAGCCTTGTTACCTTTCAACTAGATTATCACTTCAAGTCTCTCACTGCACCAACATACCCTACGTACTCCTGACAAAGTACTTTTCCTTAAATACATATCCGACCATGTGACCATCCTACTCAACCAACTCCTATGATTTCTTTTCTGTGTGATTTCTTATAGGAAGCTTACACTGCCCATAGGATAAAAAATAAACTCTGTTTAGCTTTTAAAAGCTTATACAATCTGGACATTATATATATATATATATCTACACACACACACACACACACACACACACACACACAATCTTGGACAGTATTACCCTTACCATACACTGCTATTCAACAAAATTGGACTTATTTCTGTTCCTCACACATGCCTTTGCTTTGGTCATTCTATATGACATGAATGATCTCATTCCTTAACTTTACCTTAAGGAGTCCCCCCTTTTCCTTTCAAACATCGTCTTCTGCATGATGATTTGCTGACCCCACAATGGTTAATACTCTTTTTCCTCAAACTATCTTAAATTGATTGTACTGAGGTAGCTGGTGGTGCAGTGGATAGAGTGCTGGGCCTGGAGTTGGGAAGACCTGAGTTCAAATCAGCGTTCAGACATTTCCTAGATGTGTGACCCTGGGCAAGTCATTTAACCTCTATTTGCCTCAGTTTCCTCAATTGTGAGAATGAGGATAATAATAGCATTTATCTTTCAGGGTTGTTGTGAGGATCAAATGAGATATTTGTAAAAGCACTTAGCACAATGTATGGCACATAAAAGCACTATATAAATGTGTATTCACTTTCCCTTCCTCATTTAATGACAGTATGTATTTATATTTATTAACTTAATATTTATTAAATTTCCATATATGTTGTTTTCACTCATTAGAAATGTGAGCTCCTTGTGAGCAGGGATTGTCTTCCTTATTTTATTTGTATTCCTAGCGTTTAGCACAGTGCTTTGCACAAAGTATTTAACATATGCTTTGTTCATTCATTCATTCGTATTTTTCTGTATTTATTTTTCTATGTTCTTTTCTCCCCATTAAAATAAAAGTTCTTCGTAAGTAGAGATGGTTTCACTCTTCATACTTATATTTCCAACACCTAGCACTTTGCCTGAAATATAGTAGGCACTTAGTAAATACATGTTGACTAATAGAATGATTTCTACTTTCACTGCCACCATTCTAGCAAAGGGCCTATTGCTTTCTAACAAGCTTTCAACCTCCAATCTCTGCTCCTTTTAATTCATTCTAAAAACATGTGCAACTTTCATCTTTCTTATACAAAAATCTGATCATGTTGTTTTTTGTTGTTGTTATTTAGTGGTTCAGTTGCATATGACTCCTAGTAGCTCCATGGGACACAGCATGTAAGTTCCTTTTATCCTTTACTATCTCCTGAAGTCTGTTCAAGCTCATATTTGTTACTTCCATGACACCATATATCCAACTCATCCTCTGCCACCCCCTTTTCCTCTTGACTTAAATCTTTCCAACTGCAGGGTCTTTTCCAACAAGTCCTGTGTTCTCAATATTTAAGTATTTAAGCTTCAGCTTCTATATTTGACCTTCCAGTGATTAGTCTGAATTAATTTCTTTAAGTATTGACTGATTTGATCTCCTTGTTGTAAAAGGAACTCTCAAAAGTCTTCTCCAGCATTACAATTCAAAAGTGTCAATTCTATAGCACTCAGCTTTCCTTATAGTCCAATTCTCAAGGTCATACGTTGCTAGTGGAAAAACCACACCTTTGACTATTTAGGCTTTGTTGGCAAGGTTTTGTCTCTGCTTATGTTCATGTTGTTCCTCTAGCTAAATCTCTGCAAGAGTTCCCTATTACCTGCTGACTAACGTCAAAATCCATAACCTACCATGGTCCTTTTTTACTTAACTTTATTCTGACAAACATTTAAAAATCAAAGAAATACATAGAGTATAAAACAATGATTGAGGGAGAAACAATAATGTGGTAAGAACACAAAAACAGATCTTCCAACTCCAATTCATCAATCAATAAAAGAATACAATTACTATTTAAAGTAATCTAGAAATAGTTAATGATAAAAATATATAAAATATCATCTAAATATATAACAATAAATATAATAAAAATAACAATTATTTATTTGTCTCTTCAGTAAGAGACAAAACATGAACTGACTCCTTTTGGTAATAAATATATTTATCATCCCCAGAAGTGGTATGTCAAACAGAAACATATCTGCTCCATCTTATAGTGCCAAGTTTCATGGACCACCAGTTTGCATATCATTTGACAGTACTTCCCCCAGTTTCAATCATGACAGCGCAGGCTCATTGCTAGGATTTTACCCTCTAAGAACCTCCAAAATCAATGCACTAAACATACATCAAAGGCTTCTTAAGGCAGATGCTGGACTGCCATTTACTATTTATATTTTTTTTTTCCCGCTTGACCTGTGGCAAAGGCAGTATAATGATTTTCATAAAGAACACTATGTCTATGATTATAGATATCATAGTTTTTGAATCTAAAAATCAACAATTTTGGCCAATGGAAGAGCCTTTTCCTAACTAGAAACTATGTGATTGACATCAATTTCAATGATGAGGCACTCAAATGGCCTTCACCAACTGATTCTGTGTAGTGCTGGCTTATGAGTACAGCATTGCTCAAATGATGATGATGGTAACACAAAATACTTCAGCCAAAATGGTTACTCACTAAGTCCTAAACATGTCGTATACTGTGCCCCTTCCAATCCTTCGCTCACAACATTTCTTATACATGTGGTATCCTGCCTTTTATCCCCAACTGCTAAAGTGATACCCATCTTTCAAAAGCTAGGTCAAAGGTCACCTTCTCTATGACTTGCTGAATGGTATCCCTCCCTACTTATTTACACACACACACACACACACACACACACACACACACACACACACACACACAGAATGGTCCCTCCTTCCTCTTATCAGAAATAATATTTTTCTCCTTGGCATGGATAGCACTTTGTACTTATTTTATCATAAGCTATTCTATATTCAAGTTATTTATGGATGTGACCCATCTCCCTTTAGATTGTGAGTTCCATGAAGGATTTAGACCAGGGGTGGGGAAACTGGAGCCTTGAGGCCACATGTGGCCCTCTAGGTCCTCAAGTATGGCCCTTTGACTGAATCCAAACTTCAGAGAACAAATCTCCTTAATAAAAGGATTTGTTCTGTAAAATTTGGATTCAGACAAAAGGCCACACCCAAGGACTTAGAAGGTACATGTAAACTCGAGGCCACAGGTTCCCCACCCTTGATTTATACCATTACTTATCTTTATACTTCTCCAAAATATAGAATGCTGTGCACATAGTAGTTTCATATTAATACATGCCTGATGAAATGAATAATGATGTCTTTAACAGGAAGAAAAGTTAGAGACATCTTCGTTTACTGTGAAAAACATTATACCATTTTGAAAGGGTGTTCTACCTTACTTCTAGTACCTTTAGATATTCCTTTAGGACAGCAACGTAACATCTGTGTGCATCTATTTCTTGGTGATGATTTAATAATACAGCACATTTCAGATGCAATGCATTGAGCCTGAAAAAGGAAAAAAAATACAGTATGGCTTACTCCAGATGTCTTATTTCCTTAAGTTGCTTTAGTTCTGCTACAAAATAAACATTCTTCCCAAGCCACAGCTTGCATATAAAGAGATTAGAAACAGAGAAAATGAATGGTTTAATGTCATTATAACATAAATAAACTCTACTTAGAATCAAATACTGGACAATTTTAATCTCCATTCTGTGTTCATTTCATCAGGCAACTCCATCTCTGAGGAAGAATAATCCCTTGAATATTAAGTTATGTGTTCCAGAGAATTCCTTCACTTAAGAGTCAGTAACTCTTCAGGCCTAAGAGGCCAAGGTTCTGATCTGACTGTGCACGTATGTGTTAGGAATAGGAAATGGTGGGAGAAAAGGATAGCAGTAGTCATAAAGAAGAGCTGCCTCCTATAGTCTTTAAAGTTCACACAAGACTATATGTGAATTATATAATTTGTCACATGACTTTGTGAAGCAAAGCAGCACAAATACTATGATTTAAAAATTTGCAAATGAGGAAACTGAGGCTCAGAAAAGTTCAGTGACTTACCTATGGTGACATAGTGTCAGTGCTACATAGGATTCAAACCTATGTTTTTTCTAACTGAATCTAACTTCTTTATACTATACTCAGGAGCCATTAGGGAAGGTCTCCTTTGCTCAGAGTGAAATCTCAGACAATTTATCGAATGGAAATCTATTCATGTTAAAACCTGCTTTCAAAATATAAACATGCTTAGGGGACGAGGGCTCAACTCATCAGTTATCTCTGCATTAGTCTAAATTGTCAGACTGATCGCTTAATAGCAGAGATCACCAACAGAAAGAATGAAAATTCTGTTCAAAAGTAGTATGGGCACTTAGGTGACATGCCAATATGGTAGATTGTAAAAAACAGAATTTTAGATAGCCAAAGGGCAGCATAGGGACACTGATTACTACTAAGTAGTAGAAAGGTATAGAAAAGAAGGTAGGATGACTCTAGGGACATTACCCACTTTGCCTAGTTTTTGCAAGGTCTTGAGTGGTAAAAACACAAGGGTAACAAAGTAATCATTACCAAAGTTTTTTTTGAATTTTACTATTTTGTATCATTGATCTACAAAGTTGGGGGCCATGGCCTGACCCCCAAGTTGAATGAGATAAAACAATTAAAAAGTGGAATGACAAGGAGCAATACAACCCTGCCCCACAATGATCAGTCATGGAATATGGTGCAATAAAACCACACCTATACTTTTATATTGGCCATGTACAAAAATTTGTGTCTCTGTACCCTAAATACCTCATTGGTCCTCTGGAATTGTGACTGCTTATTATATTCTCAGACTTGTCTTTATGGTGGTGTTGTTATTATATAAATCATTCTTCTGGTTTACCTCACTTCACTCTATTTTTCCAGTTTTTTCTGAATAGATTGTCTTCATCATTTCTTAGAGCACCAAATATCCCATGATATACATTTACCATGCTTTGTTCATCCATTCCACAATGGATAGGTACTCCTACCCTCACTCCCCACTGAACAAAGAAAAAAAAATTATACCCCCCTCCCCCAAACAGTTCTTGCACCAATTTAATTTTTAATGCCTAAAAAAGCCACCACATTCCTCAGGCCCTTATCATCTCTCACACCTAGACTACCATATACGTCTCCTGGCTTCTAATTTTCCCCACTGTCCAATTAGTTTAACACTCAATATTCCTAAATCATAGGTCTGGCCATATCATTTTCTTGCTCAAAAACTTTTGGGGCTCTCTATTACCTCTAAGATGAAATATAAACACCCTGACGTTAAATTCCTTCATTATCTAGTGCTAAATGACCTCTCCAGACTTAGTTCATACTAATCCACCTCACGAACTCTAACTAGTCTAATAAAACTGGATGATTAGCTACTCTTCAAACACCACAGTTCCTCTACTGCTCTGCACATTCATACAGACCATCTCCTGTGCCTGCAATGCACTGCTTCTTCATTTCAACTTCTAGGAAGCCTTAACTTTCTTCAAGGCTCACTCCATGTGTCACCTCCTCTATGAAGCCTTGTCTCAGCTACCTTGTTGCTAATATTTTCCAGAATATAAGTTCCCAGAAGGTAGGGAATCTCTGGTTTGGGTTTTTATACCTTCAGTGACATCATGGGCCCACAATGTTTCTTCTCTATTGACTTTTAGACCACTTGAAACATATTTTTTTGAATAAAAATTGGAATAAGAGATGTAAGTCACTGAAAAATATGTAACTTGAGAAGAACATTTGATGGCCATATATTGAAAGTGAGGGATGAAACATGGACAGCCTGAATGCTTCATTTGACTCAACATCCACAGAATGCAAAACAAAAACCTTTAGAAAGGACTCCTATCTCTTGGGTTTGACATGTGCAATGGGAGAAGTTGGACAGCAACATTCAGGATGAAATGGCATTGGTAAGTTAAAATCTATATTGGTGGCGGTAATATCCACGTTGATGATATCATAAAGCTACTATCATAATAAAATTATGATTTATGTACCCAGCATCTGGTACAGTGCTTTGCACATAGCAAGCACTTCATATATAAGGGATTACTAAACTGAACGAATAAAAGGAAGAAACTCCTTAGAGCGCTTCCTGGGTCATAAGTGATAGCTCATTTTACTGGCTCAAATTTTCTCATGAAAAACGAACTACTTACAGAGTCTTCTATTTTTTCCTGAAGGGTACCAATTAAATTTCCCAGCTCTTGGCAGCTTGATGAGGTAATGGTAAAATGATAGATCAAAGCTAGAAAGATCCTTACAAACCATCTGGCAACACCCACTTACTTCAATAAGTGAGAAACAGAACCCCTAAGTGATGTGGCTTGTCCATTTCTCTTTGCCAAACCAAATATGACATCTTTGAAGGCTTGGCTCAAGTCCCCTGTCCTTGAAGCTTTTCCTAGCCCCATCAGTCTTTTCCTCCTCTGAGCTGATGTCTTAAGAGTCATTAACTCATATGGTGGTTGAGTGAATAAAGGAATAACTAAATATTGGATATAGCTACTAGCAAATTCAAAGTCATATAAAGCCTGAGTTGAGGAAAAAGATTACCTCCCAAGAATCTTTTTCTTCTTCTGAACTTGACGCAGGAACAATTTCATCTGAATATATATAATTACTTGTATTTGGATTTAATTCTCCTTCTGAAGATAATTTTTGTACTGGGGACAAATTAATCTATATTTCATTGAAAAAACAACACAAAAAATCTGTTAACTTGAATTATAAATGTGATTTTAATTAATTTCTCTACTATATTTCCAACATACTTTTCTTCTATATATTGTAACACTTCAGCTATCTAGCAACCACATTGATTTATAAGACTCCCAGTAACCAGTAAGAAAGCCAAAATAGACATTAGAACTATGAGATACAAGTCACAAATTAGAGGGCTAAAGTTAATATATTTTCCAACATTACCCTAGTTCAGGCCCTCATCACAAATCTCTTATACTATTGCAATAACCTCATAATTTTTTCCCCTTTCTCAAACCTTTTTCTCTCTTCCTGCTATCTTCCACATAGCTGCTAAAATGACCACACCGCTCCCCTCCCTGTCCAATATACTCCAGTGGCTCCTTATTGTCTCCAGGATTATAACTTCACTTTTTAGAAAAGCTCTTCACAATCTGACCCCAGTCCACTTTTCTAAGATTGCTGTATGTTACCATCCCTTCAAGCCTCTACTTTCCGGCCAAATTGGTCTATTTCTTGGAAGTGACATTTCATCTTCTGCATCTTAGAATCCCAGTTCAGCTTAAGTACTACTTCCTTTATGAATCTGTTCACCCACAAGTACCTGTGCCCTCTTAAAATTATTCTGTATTTATTTATACAGGTACATGCTGTTTCTGTTGATATGATATAAATGCTTAGAAAGCAAGGACTATTTATGTAAAAATATAACATTTAAATTTGTTTTTCTAGTACCTAGCAGAATGCTGGGCATGAAACAGACAAGTAATTGTCAGATTGCTTTCACCATAAGAAAGCACTTACTCAGAGTCTATCAATTTTTATTTTACACATAATTATTTGGTTTCCAAAGCCACAATAGATTAGAAGCAGAACACTGGAAGATACTCAGAGGTACAGAAGAAGTTCCTAAAGGCAAATATGTTAACAACTAGGAAACAGAAAAGGAGGGAAAAATAACTATACAATTCAAAGATGAGAATAGTCTTACGTTTTGAGGACATCATTGTAGTGTCATAGCATAGTATAATAATGAATGTTCATATTGATAGTCATGAATAGAGCTTGAAGTCTAACACATAGGACACAATGAATATATTTAAGGAAGATGTCCATTAAAAATGGTTAAAAATAAGATTTACCACTTAAAAGGACAAACCCTCGGCCATTTAGAACACTTTCCTCTCCAAAATAATACATCCCTGGGGGCAGCTAGGCAGAGCGGTAGACAGAGTTCTGGCCTTGGGGTCAGGAGGACTTGAGTTCAAATCTGGCCTCAGACACTTGACACTTACTAGCTTTGTGACCCTGGGCAAGTCACTTAACCCTGATTGCCTCAAAAAAATTATATATATAGTGTGTGTGTCACACACACACACACACATATACACAAACATACATATATATGTATGTGTGTGTTTACACACACACACACACACACACACACACACACACACATGCCCCTAGAGGGCTCCAGATTGCCACAGTTTTATTATAATGTCTTCCATTTAATTACATGCCCTTTTCCATCCAGTTTCTGCTTAAGTGTTGTGGTTTGTTAAATATGCTAGACTTGGCTAAAAAGTCACACCTGTTTTAGAAATTCATAATTGGGAATATGGCCCAATGCATGTCAAGGAGTAAGCTGAATGGTCCCTGTAATACAATGCATGGCATGGTACTTGCCAGAGTGTCCCACATATGGCCAATGTGGGACATGATACAGAACTAGTGAGCCAAAGAGACACTGGATTGCCTTGACATGTATGTCAACAAATACAACTTTGCTGAGTGTCAAAACCCGAACCCCTAAATTGTAGGTTGGAAGCACAGGCTTTTATGATACTACACTCAAGACATTTCCACTGACCCACTGCTGGTCTGGGAGATCTCCCAATTTGAAGAACCCTATTTTCAGTCTACCAAACAGGGCAGATTGCTTTCAGAACTACCTATATACTTGTTTAACCAAGAACACTTCCATGAACATTGGATTAATTGCAATGCAAATGTATTTTTCATTCATTCCTAATCTAATATGCCTCCTTCAATTCAATCAACATTTGCTGCTATGTACAAGTCATTAGAGTTCTCCACTGTGAAGTTCTAGTGTCAACTGCATATTCACAGTGTTGGAAGTGAGTATGAATCAGACCTTGGAACTGTTGTAATCTTCTGAGTTTTGTGGATATGATATTCCCTACTGGTCCAGAGGGGCCTTAAAGGTATAGCCCAGCGCCAGCCTCATATCCAGCGACACAGCATATCTCATTGTAGCATGCTACATGACAGACCATCAAAGCATCTTTGGGAAGACCATCTAGTTACACTGTATACGTACATGATTACCTGCATGTTGACTCTCTCATTAGAATGTGACTTCCATGAGAACAGGGCCTCTGTTTTTATCTTTCTTTACATGTTAAGTACTTAGCACAGTGCCTGGCAAACATATAGTAAGCATTTAATAAATGTTCATTTTTTGAGGATGCATAGGTAATTGTTGGAGCATTTTAATGTTTGCTGTGAAATTCTATTTGATTCAATTTCTTCATCAGGCACTATGTCTAACAATTAAATGTTATTTATCGAATTACATTTACTTGTCGTTGAAAGTTAGATAAAAACATACCAATCAAAAGAGTGAACCACTTTCTAGTGGAACATGAACTTTGATATCACTACAAGGGAACCAGAAGCACCCTACTTTTATCTTCTTTATTTAAAGTTTCTGTAGCTTATCATTTGAGCAAAATATGAATGTTATTCTCAAGCTGAGAAAGAACCTTATTTAATCTAATTTGAAAATAATCAGGTTAGAATATAATTCTAAGATCTGGTGAAATTTAAAAATCATTATGGCATGGATTCAATAATCCATGGGATCACTACCATTTGGTCCCTCTGAAACTTACCTCAAACCTGCCTGTCTCTGATGATGGAGAGCTTGTCAGAAATCCTCTATTTTTCTTACCAACGGAGACAGAGGAGTTTGTTTGCTATAAGGAAAACAAACAAACAAACCAAAAAAACCACCACCACACACATACATGTTTATGTATTCATGCATATATATGTGTGTGCATGTGTGTATGTATAAATAAATTAAAAAGAACTCTACCCCGGGGCTCCCCTTCTGATTGATGAGGAGGCCTCCATGTGCCCCGGGGTCTGTGCTTGTTTCACTCCCAGCTTACTTTCTCTATGGATGGTTTTATCTCCTCAACATCCTGGCCTTCCTCAGGATGACTCTATCCTGAGACATGCTTTCCTGATAGATAAATCCTAGCCAGGTTTTCCATTTCTTGAGGTGTCTCAGTGTCACTCCCTTCATTCCCAGCCCACTTACTCTCTAGAATGCTTACTTTTTCAGCTGCTTTACCCACTTGTGCAAGTACCCTCTACTCAACTTTCCATCTCCTTAATACAATCTTCTTCAGTCAGAATGTAAATTCCTTGAGAGCAGGGACCATACCTTTTTTTTTTAATTTGTATCCCCAGGGCTTACCATAGTGCCTGACACTTAGTACAGGCTTAATAAATTCTCCCTGTTCTGTTCCCTCTCCCTTTCTTGTCTCCATAAATGAATTTCAGAAAAAAAAGATATTTTAGCACCAACAGTAAAAACAATATCTTAGCATAAGCATAAGAATAGAGCACAAACAAATAATGATAATGATGATAATAATAATAATAATAATAATAATAATGATGATGATGATGATGATGTCTGTGACCCTAACCTAAATTTTAAGTCATTTAGTCAAGTTGAGGAAATAAAACTTATTTTTGCTATGGGTTAAGTCAAACTTAGTACTCTGAAGAGAATCATATGGCACAGCAGTTACATGACAATGAATGGATGGAATTCCTTGTTGGTTTGACAGGAAAAGTGATAAGACTTTTGATTATTAGATAATTGCATTTTGGCAATTTCTGTTCAATCAATTTGTCTTATAGTTTGTTGATTTTTGTTATATTAGTGCCACTTTTCTAAGCAAATAGTTCAGAAATCATATTTCTTAATTGGTGAGTTCCTCTATCTCTTAGTAATTTGAAATCCATAATTATATGAGGCTCAAAATACTTTACTTTGAAGAAATTTATTTTATGATATTTCAAAGTTAAAGAAGTAAAAGAAGGGCACATTCATTTTACATCACCCAATGAGGCAAATCAGGCAAACAATTATGGGGTAGATGAATGTATCTACTAGCAGAGTGGAATTTTGCAGTTTTACTAGTAAGGATTGTAAATTTCTATGAAAAAATGAAAGGAAATCAATTCTTTAATTGCTAAAGAAATTCCTATCTTTTGGAAAGGGTGATTTGGGATAGCTGGCAAGACTACCAGAAATCAGATAAAAGCGTTACTTTTAGAAAGGACATAGTAAAGCATTTCAAGTACAGTATTTTTTTTTTTTTTGCATAGTCTTGAATGACAGATATTTGGCAGACATTGCTCACCACCCCTTCCTCAAGGACAACAAAAATTTTAAATTAGCCTATTGTGGATTTTCACCCTGAGATAACATCTATATTAACGGGCAAATAGCAATTCATTTAAAAGTAAAATTAGTTTTTTGGACAACTTTGATATAGTGTATCTCTTTCATAAAGTAATGAACACCTATGATATCAATTTTAATGAAGAAACAGAGATGAATTCACACTTGGGGATTTAAGGCACCCAGTGCTCTTTTTCTCCTAATTTTCTAGTGGAGTTCATAAGAATTTCTGGGGTTTCTTTATTACAGAATTCTTACCTATAACACTACGTAAGAAATATTTCAAATGACATCTCAATAGCTGATGATCTAAAACACTGACATAGATTAACATTAATACAAAAAATTAAATACAATATTAGCAAAGAGACTACAATAACATATTAAAAAGGTTTTAAATCATGACCAGGTTGAGTTTATATCAGTAGTGCAGGGTTAGTTGAATATATTGACAAGTATAAACACTATAGGCCACATTAATTACAAAATAATAAAGGCTACATGATTATATCAACTGATACTTTTTAAAAAAGCTTTTGACAAAATCCAGCATCTGTTTCTGTTAAAAACATGAAAAAGGATATGAATAAATGGAACTTTCCTTAATATGGTAATAAAAATCTATCTAAAACCAAGCTCCGACATTATATATAATTGAGAAAGGATAAAGACCTTTCCAAAAAGATCAGGGCTAAAACAAGGATGTCTTATCACCACTGCTATTTTATATAGTTCTAGAAATGCTGTAATAATACAATGGGGGGGAAATCAAACAAAAAAAGATAGGAAAAGTACAAACTATTGTTTTTTGCAGATAATATGGCCTATTTGGAGAACCCCAATGAGTCAACTAAAAAATAACTGGATCAATTACTAATTTCTGTAAAGTTGCTAGATATAAAATAAATCCAAACAGATTGTTAGTATTTCTATACATTACCAACACAAACCAGGAGAAAGGGATAAAAAGAGAAATTCTATATAAAACTATATGAATACAATTACCAAACATTCTTTACAGAAATAAAGATAACTCTAAATAATGGAGAAATATTAATTATCCATGAGTAAGTCACGTTAATCTAATAAAAATCACAATGCTACCTTAATTATTTTACTTATTTAGTGCCATACAAAGAAAACAACAAAAGTTTACTTTATAGAACTAGAAGAAAACAATAAATTGCATTTACAGGAACATGAGGTCAAGAATTTCAAGAGAAATAATAAAAAATAGGGGAAAGGAAGGAAACCTAACATTCTTAGATGTAAAACTATTTTAAAAAGAAGTAATCATTAAAAACTATTTTGTTTGCTTAAAAAAAAGGAAAACTGATCAGTGGAACAGCTTAGGTAGATAATACCCAGAAGAAATTCCAATATAATGGTACTAAAGTGTTTGATAAACCCCTAAGCTACTGGGGAAACTATATGGCAGAAGATTTAGACCAATATTTCATATCATATACCACAGTAAGCTCCATATCATATACCACAATAAGTCATCCATATGACTTGGATGTAAAAGGTCACATTATAAACAAATTAAAGAAACAAAGAAGAAAATGCCTTTAAAAACTACGAAGAGGGGAAAAGTTCATGACCAAACAAGGCTTAAAGAGAATCACAGAATATAAAATAGTTTGATTTTATAAAATTAAAATGTTTTTGCACACACAAAACTAGTGCAGTTAAAATTAGCTAGGAAACAGGTAACTAGGGTGAAATTTATTACAGAAAGGAATATAAAGGCAACTAGTGTAGATGACTATCTCAAATAATTTACTTAAGAAAGTGAGGAGAGGGCAGCTAGGTGGCACAGCGGATAGAGCACTGGCCCTGAAGTCAGGAGGACCTGAGTTCAAATCTGGCCTCAGACCAAACACTTGACACTAGCTGTGTGACCCTGTGCGAGTCAATTAACCCCAATTGTCTAAAAAAAAGAAGACGAGGAGAGAAATAAGATGTTAGCTAGCAGGGATGGTCAGATTAAGTGAGGATTTTTTTTTTTTAACAATAGATAGATATGGGTGTGGTTTTTAGGAAATGAAGAAGCAGACAGTAAACAAGGAGAGTTTGAAGACTAAAAGAGTGAGAATAATAGTTGTGGCAATTTGCTAGTGAAGATAGGAGGGATAAGATGAAAGGATCATGCCAAGGGGCTTGCTTTAAAAAGGAGAAAGGTTAACTCTTCATTTGAGAGAGGGGTGAAGGAGAAATTAGTGGGGAAAAATGTCTGACTGATGTGTTATAAGGAGAAAATAAAGAACTTTTGGTGAATGGTCTCAGCTTTCCTATGAAGTATGAAGCAAGATCCGCAGCTGAGAGGGTGCAAATTTCTATATCATAACATCATGAAGTGATATAGCAGTATATGCAGACTAATAAATGTGAAGCTCACTGAAAAAAAAATGACACCACTTGAACTACTGCTGCTTTTACTTAAAGTTGAGAAACACTTTAAGACTCTGCTTTTGAGAATGTTCTATTTCACTAGCTGGGTGACCCTGGGCAAGTCACTTAACTCTGATTGTCTCACCAAAAAGCAAAAAAAAAAAATCATCAGAGAATGTTCTACTTCATTCTTAATAATGAGTCCCAAGCTTGAAAATTGCATCCCTTACTTTTATAAACCCTTGAATCAACAAGAGAAAAAAGAACAAATCAATGAATGGGACAAACCATTAAAAAAATAAAAGCAACAATTATTTTTTTAAAAATTCCAACTAAAAACAAAAATTGAAATTCTAAAAATTGAAAGCCAAAAAAAATTGCATTGGTAAGGTAAATTTCCAGGTGATGTGACCAAGAGGATGGAGACTGGACATTTTCTTTGATCCTTAGAACATCTCAAATTTTTCCAAAACAGGAATTATGTATGAGAGACAAAGCAATTTTAACTGGCTCCACTGTCTAATAAAGAGAACCTTAGGAAGGTAACAACAACACAATGAACTAATAGCAAATTAGACTAATTCAAAATTCCTACTTGAATTACTCAGCACCCTTCTCCCTCACCTGCCACCACTGCAACTCTTGTTTTTTCTCCGAAAGAAGAGGGAATAGAAAAGAACTGGTGAGCAATCACAGGTTGGGATTGAAATGGGGGAAAGAAAGAAGTCTGGATTAAGTGGTAGGAAGGAGGGTCCCACTAAAGAAAGCTCCAATAGTTATTTTATAATGGGAGATGGAGACCACTCATCCAGCCTCAGGATAAAGTGAGTCAGAGCTTCTGGGATCAAATGAAAACCAGAAGAATGGGAGTGCATGGATTTAAAGAGGAGATTTCATGACATTTGGGGGGAAATTATCATGGGGTGATGAAGGAGGTGCTAATGAACTACCATTCAGGGACACAGGAAAATCTCTGCCATGGGGCAATACTTCTATCCTCTCTGTCACCTGCAGAAATTTGTATTTCTAAAAGTGGGACACAACAGAAAAAAGAGGAGGACAGCAGCAAGATCTGTAAGGCAATAAAATAGAAACTGT